GTCTGCTCCTTTTTATAGCATTATTAGGATGAAAATTTGGCTAGATTTCTGCTACCACTATTTCAAAAAAAAAAATGGGAGCAAAAGCACAGAGTTATAATGAAAGGCACTTACAAACTAAAATGCAAGATTTTCTAATGAGTGTTATATACTGAGTGCCACTAGTTCAAGTGGCAAATACATTTATGGGACAACAATATCCAAATTGTCTTATTAAAAGTAAAGTATAAAAATTAAGTTATGATTGTAACAATTGGGGCAGGATACAGAAGTTTATTTTTCTTTTAATAAAATGTGATTGTTCTTTTCTCATGTTTCCTATGTTTGACTACTATTCTTGATTCTTAGCAAACTAAAGTAAGTCTACTGAATGTCTTTTAGAGGTGTGATTCTACATTAAGTTCAGTGACAATATGTCACTGTAGAGCTATAGAAGACAATGTAAGGTCAGGGAAAAGAAACTGACTTTTCAATAGTCAGTTTCTATGTAAAAATTGGCACTTGGTGCTCATCAAAGAACAAGAAATATTGGATATGCTCTAAATGTCCATTGTGTTTTTGAGCCAACTTCCTGATGGAAGTCATCACTTATATGTAAATGAACTGTCAATGGCTTGCCACGGTTGGCAGTCACTCGACTGTGAAGGGTATGTCTTAATAAGAACCGAAGCTCTTCACAGACTTTGATTTACTGGAAATAAAATAGAAAAGTCCTCTGAGACTACAAAGGACACTTGTTTCAGATAAAATGTCTAGACAGTAGCAATATATTTAGGGCTTTCATTATAGCAAAGCTGCAAATTAGAATGGAATGGTGAGAAAGTTCCTGTGACCCAGCTGAGTTCTCAAACACTGCTTCTGACTAGAGTAATACAATCTTTAAAATAGCTTAACCAAATTAAATAAAAGTGCATTAGGAAAAAAGAAAACAGTAGCAGTGAAAAGTTAAGATTCAGGTCTGTTACATCTTTCAAACTGTCTATGTCTTGTGTTTTACATTTTCTTATAAGTCTATGTTTTTCTTAATAAATATAATTATTAGATTAATTGAAAACCAAACTTTAATGAGCCTGCAACATGGACTACTTCACAGAAAAATGAGATTTAAGGGGATTTTTTTCCTTGTCTTTCCACTCCTTTCCTAACTTTCATTCCAAAGCACACAACTAAAATACTGAATTCTGTCTATTCATGTTTTTATTAATGCTGTTAACAACAATCTATTAAATTGCAAAATGCTTTAGAACTTGCAGTGTACTTTCACAAAAGTATGAAAAATGAAAACTTTAGTAGTACGAAAAAAATTATTAAAGAAGACAATGTAGGTGATATAAAGAAATTTGATTTGATGCTTTATAAAGTGGATAGTCTCCATTTAGAGAACTGCAAGATGGTATCGAAGGCAGGAAGCTTTTATAGGATAAGGAATAAGGAAAATCTTGTGGGTATTTTTTTCCTTAGGAAAAAAAGTAAAAAGCTAAAAAGAAAAGAGCAAGGAAGAGAAAAATACAAAATATCTGACAGCAGCCACAGTCAGCCTTGCTTGGGATGAGAAGGAACAGGATGATAACACAGAGCCCAGAGGTGGCTCGGTGCTTTGGGATTGGATGGCTGAATATATTGTGTTTCTGGTCAAGTGGAGCATTTTCAGGGACATGAAAGTTCCCTAAGTTTCATATTTGCTGATTTGGTATCCTGGGCAGGAGTGCTTCCATCCTGAACCTAGAAATTGATTTCAACAATACATAGATGACATTTTTGTATTAACTACTTTCTCCCAAAGCACATTATATTCAGAGAAGTATATCAGTCAGGGTAGATGAGCAGCTTTGAAAAACAATCCTAAAAATCCCACTGGCTTAAAATAACAAGTTCTTTATTGCTCATTTTCACAATTCAGTGTGTTAGCTGAGACTCTGTTCCGTGGGGCTTTCAGAGATGAAGGCTTTTTCTACCTTAATAGATTTGCCATTCTTTAGGATTCACAATCTGTAGATTTACAGCCTTTACATCCAGACACAGATAAAAATTTTCCTGCTTCTTAGCTACTTAAGCCTGAACTTGGAATATATCACTTCTACTCACTTTCCATTCAGAGGAACTTGTCACCTAGTTCCATCTAAATTCAAGTGGACTAGGGAATGTGGTCTAGTTTTACATCAAAGAAGAGAATATGCTACTTTCTGCCATAGGGATTAAATCACATTCCTCATTATTGTAGGGAATAAGAAAATTCTCAAATGGCTTCACTTGGAATGGTTATTTTTGTTTAGAATTTTATTAAAGAAGTATCCAAATAATCAACATTTTTTTAGTGTTCCAATATTTTAATGCTAGTTCTCTTGTATAATTCATTAAGAATCTTGAAAACATGTAGCATCAACTTAAAGAGAAACCACTTTTCTTTTTTATTTCTTAGATATGTGTTTTTCTTTTTGGAAACTTGGGTTCTAATTTTGTTTTGATTTTGTTACTTAAATAAAAATCATATCAAGTAAAAAATTTTTGTAAACATTTGATAAGAACCATCATTTTGATATGAAAGAATACCTATTTCTATTCTGGGGAAAAAACTATCAGAAACTAATACTTGCAGAGCAATGTGGGGACACATAGAGTTGTGCCATGTCAAACTGTTCTATACAAATAATAAGGAAGAAAGTATGGTAAAGTGATGCTAAAGTAAAACTGACTTACCATCTCAGAAGTAATTTTTCATTTTATTCCAGTTGGAAGAATACTGAGGAATTAAACATTCTCATTTGTAAAGGGTTTTAAACAACTAAGGGGAAAGACAGAAAACTTAACCAAAATTCTAAATACGTTTGCTGAAATTTTAAATAAATGTGCTAGCTTAAGCTTGTTCCCTTCTATCTCTTTATTGAATAAATGCTTAAATATTCAAGTTTTGGGGTTATTAAATATATTCCTGTGGGTGAAATT